TGCTCAGCCTGCTCTCTTATGGAATCCAGGACCACCAGCCCAGGGATGGCCCCACCCACAGTGGGCTGGGCCCTCCCCCACAATTAAGAAAATGCCCTACAGCTGGATCTTCTGGAGACCTCTTTTCTCAATTGAAGTTCCCTCCTTTCAGATAAGTCCAGCTCCTGTCAAGCTGACATAAGATTAGTCAGCACATCCTGTAACAAGCAGGAAGTGAGGGATGCTGGGAGAGCCTGGTGGCCAGGTCCACTTTGACATGTTAAATAGGCACCTCAGTTAGCCATTTGTCCTGGGTTTGAGACCTAACAGCTTTGTCCTTCAAAGGCATACTTCCAGTGACCTGGTTTCTCTAAGCAGACCGGACTTTCCAGTTTCCACCAAAGTCTATTCAAATATTTAATCCATGAGTGGGTCAAATGCCTGTTTAAATGAGAGCGTTAACACCCACAAACACAGCCAACAGTGTGCCTTCAAGATGTCTCCCAATCCAATCAAGTTGACTCAAGGTTAACCATCACTAGAGGCTTGCAGAAGATAACTGTATTTAAGCAAGAGGGTTATCTAAAGAAGGAGGCAGAGGAAAATGGAAGGGGAGGAAGGGGGAAAAGCTAGAGGAACTTTGGAGCCCAGGACACAGAAACCAGAAACAATGGAGAGAGTGACTTTATTGAAGCCAGTATTAGGTATGTTTCTAGTAGTCTCTGACAGTACAAAATGAGGAAATCAAGTGAATTTGTGACCAAGATTCACTTATTAAAATTTTGTGAGTGAAAAAGAAAGAGGTAGCAAAGGAGGTTCACTACATCTGATCAAAATTAGCCAAGATGTCAGCGCGTAAGTAGGTTGACGGGAGGGAATGTGGAAGGAAGCGTAAAATGAAAGCATGAAACCTCTGGAGCGGCCTCAGAAACAGGTCAGGGGTTCTCTTCCAAACAAACAGGAAGACTTGCACTTGTACATCTAGCAGGGCAGAGTTAAGCAGAGAAAGGTCACCCAGGTTCACTGGCTTATGCCAGTTTGGGCTTTGGGTTATCAGCAGGTCAGGGCCTCAGACCCCCACCAAGTCTGGATGGCTGACTCCAGGCACATGGGTTATTTCCAAGGCTGTAGGAACCTCCCCGAGGGCTGAGCAGTGGTTTCCACATCAAGATCAAGGACAACGGAGAGACAGAGCGACCTTCTGGAAGAGTCGGACCAGCAGTTTGGATTCAGTCAAACCAGCAAGTCCTTTTAATAGGCCAATTCTGTTCTTCCAGCCAGAGCTGATTAACCCTTAGCTCCCCAGGCAAAAAGTGCCCTCCTGAGACATCAGAACGGCTTTCAAAATAGGATAGGTCTCAGCGTGGAGACGGCTTGCCCTACTTTCTCACTGTGTAGAATCCAGAATATCGCTTAAGTTTTCCAGGATCCTTTCTTAGAAATGAGATGGATTGGGCCGAAGATGCAGCTTGAGAGGAGAATTCATGGCACATGCAAGGCCCTGGGTTCAAACCCCAGCATAGCAGAGGAAAAAAAAAAAGATGCCTTACACATTAGAACCATGCACAATTCTCTGATTTTTGTGGGCAAACTGAGGTATAATTCGAAAGTAGCTCCTGGGAACTTGCCAGTAAGAATGGAGTTCATTTTCTGCAGCCTTCCCCCACCCCCCTTTCTCTCTAGAGCAAGGAGAGGAAAGAAAGAAAGAAAGAAAGAAAGAAAGAAAGAAAGAAAGAAAGAAAGAAAGAAAGAAAGAAAGCTTACATTTGACCTCTAGCCCATTTTACCAGTCTATGATCTTGGACAATTTAGCTTCAGCTCTCATCTGTAAAATGGAAAAATAACAGCATCAACCTCATGAAAGTTGTGAGCAAAGGGCGACATGGTCTGTAACCCTCGGAGGAGCGTGGAGTGCGCCAGCCTTCTCTACTCATGTGAAGATCCTTGATTTGGGGTTCTTGCTTGGTGCCACGGTCACCAGAACGAACGTCTCTCTGTGAGGTAAAAACCTGTGATTCCAGGTAGGTGGCAGCATGAGGGACCTGAGTGTCGCTTTCCATAAGAAAAGAGCTGCCTTTGGACTTTGCTGTAGACCCCGTGTTGGCCTCAGCCCAGATATTTCCTTATTCCCCAAGGTACAATCACGAGGGTGGGGCCCACAGAGGAGGGTGCATTATGTCTTGGGGGCGGCTGTTTCCAGGATCTAGAGATTTGTTTGAATTTCATAAAAGCAATGTAGTATGTCCACCAGCAGACTCAGAGGGCTAGTCCTGTCATCAAACATGGAGACAGTTCTGCAGAGAAATGGCCAAAAATATCCACCGTGTGGAGAAACAATGATTATGAAGGGTCCCATCAGTTCGGGTCTAGTTCTGGGGCTTCAGGTTTCTTAATCTCTACAGTACACTTGCCTTACAAGACAGAGGTTAGAACAAAAGATAATAATGTACAACTAAGAATTGAGGAGCAAAGAACCTTTCCCAGCTCCAGTCAAAGGCTGGTTTATTGTTTCCTGTCCTAACTCATTATTTATTTCCCTTCATCTTGGTATTAGCCCTGGCATGTGGTATTATCCCCATTTAATTTTTTTTTTTTTTATTTTATGTGCATCGGTGTTTTGCTTACATGTGTGCCTGTGTGAGGGTGTCAGATCCCCAAGAACACAGCTGTGAGCCTCCTTGTGGATGCTGGGAGTTGAAACCAGGGTCCCCTGGAAGAGCAACCAGTGCTCTCAACCACTGAGCCATCTCACCACCCCCTATTATCTATTGCCATTTTATAGGAGGAAATCAAGACCCAGAGAGATCAAGCACCTTGCTCGTCTGAGGATTAAGTAATGGCGTCAATTCCTAGGATCTTAGTCTCTGCTCAGAACTCAGAGTGTCCCCAAGGCAAGATGTCTTGTCTGCAGCTGAAGCTTCCCTTCAGTGCCGATGTTCTTGATCTGCTTGTCTTTAACTTGTAGGCTTGGTAGCTGCACGGACTGATGGGGTCATGGATGACTAGTTCAGCATTTGATTCACAATAGCCCTCAATAAACACTTATTGGAAAGGTAAGTGGCTGGACAGACAGATGGGTTGCCATGGGTGAAAAGATGCATGGGTATCTAGATAGATTGTATAGATGGATGGATGGATGGATGGATGAATGGATGGATAGATGGATAGGTCAATGGGTGAGTGGATGGATGAGTGAGTAATAAGAGGAATATAGTTGGGTAGACGGGTGGTTGGATGGAAACATGGGTAGGTGGATGGCTGCGCTGATTGGTGGGTAGTTGGAGAGATGTATGGATAAATAGACATATGACTTATAAAGACAGCTATAAGAAGATCCTATCCACTAACTCTAGCATTTCCGGATTCCCTTTCCAGTATACCATCTTTCCCTGCTAGACCAAAAACCTCACTTTGTTGCTAACAACACAATACCGCAGACTGCATAACTTAAGACAGAGATTTTGGATCACAGTTTGGTCTATAGCCATCAACCTACATCTGGTGATGGCCTGCTTGCTGGCACGGTCCTGAGGTGGAACAAGATGCCAAAAAACAAAGGATGTTGACAGACATGTGATCTGGTCTCTGTCTTATAAAATCATCAGGATTCAATCATGAGGGCTCCAACCCGAAACCTTTTGCTGTTCTCTCTATTTAAGAGTGTTTTGTTTGTAGCATGCATGTGCGTGCTCACCCATGCGGATATACATGGAGGCCATAGGAAGATATTGGGCATCCTGCTCTATCCTTCCCCACCTTGCTTTCACGATACTGAGTCTCTCACTGAACCCGAAACTCAAGTTTCTACTAGGCTGGTTGGCTGCTGCCCATCTTCTTTCCGCAGTGCTGGGAAACACAGGGCCGATGCCTGCATATACGTGGGTTGTGGGGGTCCCAAAGCCAAGTGCCTGTGCCCACCCAGCAAGCCCTCTTACCCGGTGAGCCATCTCTCCAGTCATGGAAGATTGTTTCCTATTCTTGGTCGATTATGTACAGCCAGATCAGCTTCCCAGCATGCCCTTGGTGCCCCTCAACCATAAAGGACAGAAGGTGCCTCATCATGTAGGCCTTCCATCTATTCAGACAGGGTCTATGCAGAACACACAAGCTCCACTGGTGTGTGTGAGCAAGCGTGGCGCCAGTGGGGAGTCAGGGGAGCCGGGGAGACAGCAGTGGGTAAGCACTGCCCAGCTGGCATCGATGGAGAGCTTTCCCTCACCTCCATATCCCTCCATCTTTGAAAAAGACTGATGCTGGGGAAATAGAGGCTTTGAACTGATCAATACTATCATTTTGACATGCTGGCTTCAGATTTACTTACTGATTTATCTATTTACTTATGGAGACAGGGTCTCACTATGTAGCCCCTGGTTGAGCCTGGAACTCACTATGTTGAGCAGGCTGGCAGTGAACCCACAGAGATCTGCTTGCCTTTGCTTCCCTGGTGTCGGGATTAAAGGAATGTGTGACCGTGCCGGGCACGGGCTCCGGATTTTTATACTATGAAAGAAATCAAAACCGCTGATAGTTAAATGCCTTTCGTCCGCCTCTGACTGGACTAGGTGCCACCCCTCTTCAGAAGCTGATGCTCTTCCTTCTCGTGCTTCTATTTCCATCCACACATCAAGAAGTAATCATTATCGTACCCCAGCTGTCTTTCTGCGTGCACCCCGGGTCACGGTTCCATTTCCCACGCTGCGCACTGCACGGCTACTGAGGACTACTCCACAGCCCCCTGTGGGCGACTTCCCCAGGCAGCCTTGCCCGCCACACAATGCTGAGAGATGCATGGTGACACATTACAGACAATGCATCCATCCCACCGCACAGCTCTCATCACGTGACCACGCCCCCAACAACGCCCCCCCCCCCCCCCCCCCCCCCCCCCCCCCGCCCCCCCCCCCCCCCCCCCCCCCCCCCGTCCGTCTCCTTAGCGGATGACAGTGTGCCAGAACACTGCTCCCCAGGTCTTGTGAGCGTGTTTCTCTTCGTTCTGATCGCAATAAGAAGAAGACACTCGGTAAGACTTGAAATATTTATTAGTAGGAATGCTTTCCGATGGGTTAAAACCAAGCAGCTGATGCCAATGCGCACCGAGGGAAACGCTTCTCCAGAGCACAGAGCATAGCAGGCGAAGGTCCTTTTGTCTGCGGAAGGGGTCTTCTAGGTGCAAAACCTGGGTCCAGCCCAAGTGGAAAGCCTTTACCAACACACCAGAAGGGGCGACGGTCTGGGTGACAGCGTGACTGCTGGCTCACTCTGGTGTCACGACAGTGGCGAAGAGCACGATGAGGTCTTGGCACAGACAGAAGCCATTGCTGACTGCTGGCTTCTGTCTCCCCCCCTCCCCCCCACCCTGAACGCTGCTGAGCAGCAAGGAGCCTACACAGGCTATAGTCCTTGATGGCAGAGCAAACATTTCAGTCCCCCAAACCTCCCGTAGTAGGAGTGGGATTCCCACTGGGCACAGCCCTTGCTGTTGGCTAGAATGCAGGTTAGTCTGCAAGGCAACGTCATATTCCGTACCCTAATGTACCACTTTTAAGAAAAACAAAATGGCAAGTCGATTCTGTACCTGCGTAAAACATTTGCACAGCTCTACCATTGTCCTTAGGGACTTCTGTTGAGAAAGAATCCCTTTGACAGCCTGGGCCTTACTTACGGACACAGGCCTGAAATGGATTACCTGTAGGTGCAGCCAACATAAAATCGTATTTACACATATACAAACCTGCCAGGTGTGAGAGGAGAGAAAGTGGGGGTTGAGAAGGGAATCTGGGGACTGATGGAGAGGACACTACAGCCTATGTGAGGAGCAGGTGTAACTTCTAGGTCTCCACAGACCTTCCTATGACTTAGGGTCAGTTGTTAAAACAGCCCAAAAGGAATGCCAAGGGTACAGAAGCCCCAGACGCCACAGCACCTGTCTGCAGAAAAGGCCCAAGATGGTATGACTATGTGTGGGGCCAGGTGCCACATTCTTTCCTTGCCGGTGGTGGTGGCCCTCCGCCTGGCTTTGATATCGTTGACGCTGCAGCCTGGAGAAATCGAGGTTTCATTCCCTCATGTGCTTCTCCAATATGCCAGGGCGGCTCACCGTCAGGGTGACGCCCAGACAGTTCATGCAGAATTCAGCCACTGCAAACCCAATCCAAACCCGTGGCGTTCTCTCCTGGGACCGGCAACATCTCGGCTCCAAAGTCTAGACCGCCAGCCGGACAAAGGCAAGCTCCCAGCCAAAGCTTCCCAAAACGGGGTGGGGGGGAGGTGTTTGAAAAACAAGCTTGACACTGTGTGGAAAGCGGCCACCTCAGCTTCAACACAACAGTTTTTTGTTTGTTTCACCTGCAGTGAGCACGCTGATGTTTTTGTCAGCTGGTGACATGGGATAGGAACTGACCGTCCTCGAGAAGGCCCTGATGACATACAGGTGCCATTTGCTAACGCTGTTTGAGAGGCCTGCTCTGGGACACTGAGGGACACTCTTGAATGGAGACAAGTATTTGTTATTCCCCATATTCTAGATTTCAATTAACTCCCGAACTGGGAGAAGCAGGAAGAATATTACATTGACACACAGACAGCCTCGTCTGCGCCTGGAACGGGCTCTGTCTGCTGGACGGCCTTTCTTTCCAAAGCAGGCAGAGCGTAAAGCACTTCTTCTGACCTTGTCCTTTCGGGGGTCCATATTTTTAAGGCGGGGGCATTCTCTGCCTGGGGTGCTGTCACCCATGATTAGCTGCTATTACTAGAAGAAGTTTGCCCTACAGTTTAGACTCAAACATCCTGTGATTGGTTTTATCCCTTGGATGCGAAACCGTGACACAGTCTCCTCGTAAATCAATGCTCTGTGAATTAATCATCTCCAAGAGCAGAAACTCACTACAATGGAGAGGATGCATTTGGGTGGTGCCCCGGATGCTATTTACATCCTCCATCTTTCCACTGCTGACACAGTAACTACTTAACTCTTTTAAACCGGGATTATATGTAACCTTCGAGTCTGATTTGGTTGGGTTTACCTGAGGAAAATGTTCATCAGCTAAATGAAAAGGGGCACAGATGGCAGTTTCTAATCCAACTTCTGTCTTTCACAGAAGATCAATTCTTAGTCTGGGTGATGGTGCAGCTATTCATGTCTGATTTCCCTCAGGAAACTAAGAAAGCCTTACTTCCAAAGCCAGCTAAAAGGTAACCAACCTGCTACATTACCTTTGCCTTTTGGTGAACTGGCCAGGAGCGGAGGCCCTGGCCCTGGGCTCTGACTAGGTGGCACAGGAAATCAGAGGAGAAGGGCACCTCAAGGCTTGTGAACAAATCTAAAAAGTTTCTAATATTTAACAAAAATGGCAACTATACCTAGCAAGTACAAGCCCTGCTGTGGGCGGTTCATAAATGGAAGGCCATATTGTGGTGGTATGCTGGGTTTTCCATAACCTCTTTTCAGGGAATTTCCCATGCTGAGCGTCCTGTGGGTCTCCCAGGGTGCAAAGCTGCTCACTCTGCAGCAGGCAGTTAGCCCTGAGGGTGGGGTCCTTCTGTGCGGGCTGACCACCGGAGCTGGCTTCTTCCTTGGCGCTCTGTATGCCAGCTCAGCAGCACCTCCGGCTGCCTGGCAAGCTCTGGCTCCCAAGCTTGATCCCTCCACTGTTTCCATTTTCATGGGGGTCCAAGGGTGGGATCTGGCGGCCTGTGGTGAGGAGAAAGAGGTCAAGATTGAAGTTCTCTTATTTTAAAAAGTCTGCCTGTTCGAGTGAAAAAAAAAAAAAAAATATATATATATATAGCACTACTTGGGGGAGGGGCTAGCTCCCTCCTCCTTTCCCTTCTCCCTCTCCTCTCTTTTTCCCTCCCTCCCTCCAGCCTTCCTTTTCACCTCTTCTCTCTTTCCCCCTTTTCCCAGTTCTTCTAGCGGAAGTCGAATTTCTGTTTAAAAGGTTGAGGAAAATCATCAGCAGTTTCCTGACCTTGCAGGTAATCGGTCCCAGGCACAGGAGAAGGCACCCCACTGTGCAGATCCGAGGGGCTCCCTCAGTCACTCAGGCCCTCAGCCTTCCTTCCCAGACAGCCACCCTGCTTTGCAGGACTGGACTTCAACAGTCACAATGAGCACTTATCTGTCTTTTCTGCTCGTAGAACTACGATGGGCTGAGGCACAACACACCAGCCTCATCCTGTGAGGGCGCTCGGCTCATTAGCCAGAAGGCCCTCGGACATACAGCACAGGACCCGGTACCTTAATGTCACACGGGAGCAAAATAGGTTGTGCATATGAGAAAGGTGGACACTTGGCACGTGAGCCTCATTTTCACAGAGCTGTGTGTCTAAGTCAGGGAAATCTGGAAACAGCAAGCTTGGGCAGCCTTCCCGCTGTCAGCTATTCATCATTGATCCCTCTCAGCAAGTCTTGTGAGGGCCACTATCACACCATTTTCTGTGACTTTGTTGAAGGCCATGCCAAAGCTAAATGGTGGTTCTTATTATAACCCACATCTGGATTTTCGAATGCCTCCTCAGCCCTGTGTTCTGCCAATGGTCTCTCTCTCTTCTATTTTTCTATTTGTCCTAAAAAAAAAAAAAAAAAAGATGGAACACTAGCTCTAAAATGGAAGATTCAAACAAACAACAAATAAAAACCCCACAACTGATCAGAGGGGAAACTGTTTTGCTTTTGTTTTTGTTTTTAAGGCAAATCTATGCTACCTGTTTGAATGCAATATAGAGCCAAAAGACCCGAGCGAAGGCCTTTGGCGGAAGAGGTAAGATGCGGTCTCCGAGGCTTTGGCGCACGGCACAGACCGAGTGCTGTAGAAGTCGGCAAAGCTCCAGCACAGAGATAAAAGCAAACACCTCTGGCATTCGATTCAAGGTTAGCAGGAGAAACGGGAGTCGATACAGAGGGAATGAAGCATGCCAACAGTCTCTACAGCACGTCTGCCATCCTGCACCACCCGCAAGCTATACAAAGGCTTGTAGGCCCTGCTCAAGAAGAGCTCAGCAGACAGGAAAGCGTAGGTACTCTTGCACTTCCCTCATCGAGACACGCCCAAACTGTAGTCACAGTTGAAAAGAATTTTTTTTTAAATTCTACTTTGTCAACCTAAAGTAGTAAATAAAAAGGAAAATACTGGTACTGTTCTGAGGATTTGCCCCAGTCATATCTGGCCGATAATGACTACCCGCACCTGGGGCCAGTCATGTGGTCTGAGGCCCAACAGTGTCAAGCTACAGAGCCAGTTAAAAGGCTTTAGCTTCTGCATCAGAAGTTTTTAGAGAAGACCGTAATTCTGACCAGTACAGCATGGTTGACTTAAAGGATAGGGACTGTTTGCTGATGAGCACAGGGTGTTACAGTGATGGACACCTAGAAGCAAAGTGCACCAGGAGTGCAGGGTGTCTGTCTGTCCACACGTCCATCCTTCCTCCCTGTCTTCTGCTCTCACGTCTCCCCCAAGTACACAACAGGCTCCAACGCTGTGTGCCAACAGCCTCCTCGCCTGGGTTTCAAACTGTTGGCAAGGCTTTCAAACCAGCTGTCAAAGCTGGCTTCTTGGATGTGCCAGGTGCTCCTGCCGTTCAGAATATGTGAAGCCTCACTTGTGAGAACGAGATACAGGATCCTCCTGCCGTAGGCAGAGAGCTGGGTCCTGGAGGTGCCCACTGGAGTCCCCCACTTCCTGTGTCCAAGGACAGAAGATTGCACCAAGGACATTCAGTCAGTGGGAACAAAGAACAACAATGAGAAAGAGGAAGACACTCCTGGGAATGGGAGGGTCTGGCCGGGAGAAAGTGTGGGCTGAAAAGAAAGGCCGCTGGGCTCAGGACCCTCTATATAGGTCACTCCCACAGGCACGGGCTTCTCTCCCACTTCCAGTCTGGGTGGGGAAGGGTTTCCCGATTCTTACATTTTCTGCTAGCTAGATTCTCCCCCATGCCACCCTTCTGCCACACCTCTTAATCTGCAGAAGATATGTTCCAAGACCAGCCCCCAGCAAACAACTGAAACCGTGGAGGGTGCCAAATGCTCAGCTAGCATTCTGTTTACTGCACAGAGACAACCTGTGACAAGTTTCATTTGTAAGTTAGATATAGGAAGAGATCTACAATAGTAACAAATCTTAAATTAGAACAATTACAACAACAGGTTGTATTAAAAGTTGTTCAAACACGAGGGGTTTTGTTTTGTTTTGTTTTTTCCGGGATTTCCATTTGGTATTTTAAGGCCATGGTTGCCGCTGACACCACGGATGAGCAAGGACTGCTGTATTTCTAAGATGCGAAATCAATGTGGAGCCCTCAGACTTCTTTTTATCTTTGAGCAGAAAGCATTTTGAGGTTGGAGAATCAGCCACCCCAGTTAAACGAGCCCGGTGCGGTCACGTAAAACCGCTTGGTCCTTCTTCCCTCCTCCGTACACAGCATGTGAACAGTGAACCTGAGGCCCCCTACACAGTCTACGCTGCACTGCTTCTAGGCAAGGGACTCGGGGAGTCTTTGACCGCAGCAGGCGTCTTTGCATGGGAAGAGGCGCGCAGCGCTCCTGGCTAGGAGCAGTTAGGAGAAGGCGGGCCTGTTTTCCCGGAGACCACTCCACTTGGGAACGTCACATAGCTCCAGCTTCAAACATGGTGAAGAGCTGAGGCGCACCCACATTAAAGTGTGACAGGGAAGAGCTAAATCCCAAGCCTAGCGCCCTTCAAGAGCTAAGCAAACAACACTGTGGAAACAAGTGCCAGCCCCTGTGCTGTGCTCCAGGCACTCAGAGCCTGCTGGGTGCATGTTCTCCCACAAAAGAATGGGTCTGGAAAGGGGCCATAACACTCTGCACTAAGGAGATGACCGGAACACAGTTCACGGGATTTTATTTACCCGAACACGAAACTGAGCTCAAACACACGATGACATCGGCACAGGCCCGAGGTGTCCTCTGGATGTTTCTCCTCCTACAGAGTGTCCTCCAGGCTTGCCACCTCCACAACAAGCTGTTCTTGAACACGAATCCCAGGCCCAGCGTGTTTATTTTAACACAGTTTGGATTGTGTAAGATTCTCTTGGGGAGAAGTTAACACCCCCACCCCCACCCCCACCCCTCCAGGTTTCCTGAAAGTTGACAGTCCCGGAGAAAAATCATGTTTAGCAAACACTTCCTCAGGAATGTAAAATGTGGAAATAAATTCCAAACCTATGAGTTTTGCCCAGCTTGGCTGGGGCAGTGGGCCTAACGCACAGAAAGAATGAAGTGGTGTGCTTCTCTGCAGCTGCTCTTGGCTGACGAGCCCCAGCACTTCCTGTGTGCTCCGACTGCTCTCCAACAGCTCTGCCATCTGTCCCTTCGTTTTTCTCTCCATCCTCCAGCGGCTTGGCTCTCTTTTCTTCCGTGTCAAGTGTGTCTAGAGGCAGCTGTGTGACTGTTTCTGATCTTGACTCTCTGTATCATCCAGATTGGTGGTTTGATCAACTTTGCTAGGGTTTGGTGGGACTTAGTAATGGCCCTGAAGTTTGTGCTTTGGGATAGGGAGTCTTCGTGAAACACTGCAGTGGCTCATACCTGACCTGGGGTCCCTCCTGGCAATTGTCCTCCGGTTACTATAGCAGGAATGATACTAGAAAAGCTCCTTGTTTTGATTTTGAGGCAGGGTCTCTCCACATAGCCCTGACTGTCCTGGAACTCACTACGTAAACCAGGCTGGAGTCAAACTCACAGAGATGCGCCTGCCTCTGCAGGAGTGCTGAGATCAAAGGTGTGCACCACCACGTCTGGCCCTTAGACAACTTTTACTGTTCGGATAAAGATGTGAGGAGTGAGCTCAGGCTCTGTGAAGGACCAGAATGCACTAGGAGCAGGTGGCGCCCAGACAGCACAGGCCCAAGGGAGCTACAGTCAGTACAATGAGAGGTACAGGAAGGGGGGAGCAGCGTGGGGAAATGCCAGACATGACCTGACAGCTGAGTAGAAGTGAGGATGTGAGAGCAGAGACCCCCAAATCTGGAAGCTGAAAGAGTCTAGGGAGCCAGAGACAGATGTACTACAAGGATTCAGTCCTCCCCTAGTGTGGCTTCATCCCCAGCACTACAAATGAATACATGAAAATTAACCACAAAACACACTTCATGCAAATAGGGCATAACAATATCTAATACATATCTGGTTTTAAAAAAATTGAAAAAAAATGTTCAGGGAGCCGAAGTCATGGCTGTGTTACAAAGAAGAGGACAAAAGGAGCTGTTCCCATTGGCTGCCAACCCAGTGGCTTCAACAGCAACTGTGAGATTTCAAATGAGTTCAACAGAATGCTGCTTTTAAAAAGAAAAAAGAAAAGCACCCCCCCCCATTCACTTCTTAAAACTGATAAACTTTTTCTACAATAATTTTTTGGTTTATGAAGAAAATTGAGGAATTTAGCTCCCCCATGCCTCACTCTTCACCTCTAGGTTCCTGCTGCTCGCATCTTGCATGAGTATGAAACACCAGTTCCAACTGACGAGCTAATGTTAACCCACTATTGCTAGCTACGGCCCACAGTTTTCGCATGGGGTTCTCCATGTTAGACATGCTGTCGATGCTGATAAATGCCTAATGACATGTCGCCATCATTATAGCACCAGATAGAGTCATTTCAGTCCTGTTCCCCCCCCCCCCCCCCGTGCTGGTTTTTCCGTCAGCTCGCCACAAGCTGAGGCCGTTTGGGA